CATGGTCAACAAAAGGGGTATTGAGGCTAATCTAGACAAGATTAAAGCTATCTTGGACATGAGTTCTCAACCTCTATGAAGGAGGTACAGTGCCTTAAATGAAGATAGCAGCCCTTAGTAGATTCATTTCAAAGTCAGTAGATAAGTGTTTACCCTTCCGTAGAATTGTTATAATAGCTTTCGTGGTCTGTGTATTGGTTTTCCCCCTCGTTCGCCTCGCCCTTTGCTGTGAGTTCCACTTTTGTTAGGGAGGAAGGAGGAATTCAAAGGCCCATTTACTATGCGAATAGGGCTTATCAAGGAGTAGGGGTAAGGTACTCTAAGTTGGAAAAGTTATCACTAGNCACTTTTGTCAGGGAGGAAGGAGGAATTCAAAGGCCCATTTACTATGCAAATAGGGCTTATCAAGGAGTAGGGGTAAGGTACTCTAAGTTGGAAAAGTTATCGCTAACACTAGTCACTGCAGTCAAGCGCCTATGACACTATTTTCAGAGTCACGCCACCATGGTTTTCACAGATCAACTACACAAAGGAATCTTGGGAAAAGTAGGTGTGTCTGGAAGGCTACCCAAATAAGTCGTTGAATTGAGCGAGTTCCACGTACAGTACCAACCGAGAGCGGCCATCAAGGCGCAAGCATTAGTAGATTTTGTGGCAAAATTCACACTAACAGAGGAAGGAGGCTCCCAAAAATAAGTGCTCAATGCCCTTGCACTCACCTACTTTATGAACAGTGCACAGAAACCTCGTGCATCAAGGTAAGGCGCCACCCTCAGGGTGCCTGGTGCCCTAAAAAAACCAGTGCCCCAGACCTTTGGTGCCGAGGTTCCTTGGCTCGAGGTGCCCAGTTCACTTACGCTAAGTTCTTTAGGGTTGTCAATATTTGATGCCCCAACCCCTTTCTTGACTGTAACTCAGCTTGGTGCCCTCCTACCAGATTGCATTCTCGTGCTTGGGTGGGCGTCTCCAACTATCGAGGCCTATGCACATATCGATGTAGTGGCATGTTGGAAGGCTATAATTAGATGGGTCTTCCACTAGTGAAGGTAGGGAAGTAGGGATGGTACTCATCAGTCCTCAGGGCACTTCACTTAAATACGTTGTATCACTTCATTTTGTGACATCCAACATTCAGGTAGAATATGAGGCCCTCATCTCAGGCCTGAAGCTCGCAATTGAAATGGTGGCTCTCTACCTCATTGTCTATAATGACTCCCAACTAATAGTCAACTAAGTAAAAGGAGACTTCAAGATAAATGAAGAAAGGATGTAATAATATCTTTTAGTGGTACAAACTTTACTAAAAAAGTTTCCCCACTTCCAAATTTAACATGTGCCCAGAAAGGATAACGCCATGGCAGATACGCTTGCCAAGTTCACGTCCACAAATATCCCAATAGGCCTCGCATTCACGGTTCACCAATTTGAACCAAGTAGGCTTAAAATAGATGAGGATAACGTCAATTGTGCATCCACTGATGCCAACTGGATGACACCCATCTGGGCATATCTAGAAGAAGACACTCTCCCAAAAAACCTAGTGGAAGCTATGAAATTTAGACTAACAGCATTGAGGTATGTCATCTTTTGTGACACCCTTTACAAGACGAGCTACTCACTGTCACTACTCCGTTGCCTCTCTNAATAGATGAGGATAACGTCAATTGTGCATCCACTGATGCCAACTGGATGACACCCATTTGGGCATATCTAGAAGAAGACACTCTCCCAAAAAACCTAGTGGAAGCTATGAAATTTAGACTAACGGCATCGAGGTATGTCATCTTTTGTGACACCCTTTACAAGACGAGCTACTCACTGTCACTACTCCGTTGCCTCTCTCCTAAGGAATCTGATTATGCTATGAGAGAGATCCACAAGGGAATATGTGGAAACCACTCTAGAGGGCATAGACTAGTTCACAAGGCAGTGAAGCAAGGTTACAACTAGTCTAACATGATTAGAGAAGCTCGAGAATTTGTAAAAAAGTGTGACAAATACCAATGTTTTGCTACTGTGCCAAGACAACTGCTAGAAGAATTAACCACCATCTTAGGACCTTGGCCTTTCTCTAAATGGTGGATTGACATCCTAGACTCCCTACCCATGAGTCGTGGCCAATGCAAATTTGTGATAGNTTGGCCTTTCTCTAAATGGTGGATTGACATCCTAGACTCCCTACCCATGAGTCGTGGAAAATGCAAATTTGTGATAATAGACATTGACTACTTCACAAAGTGGGCAGAAATTGAGTCCTTAGCTAGAATAACAAATCAAAAAGTGCAGGATTTCATCTGGACGAACATGGTGTGTAGTTTTGGAGTGCCTCATCCTATAATGAGCGACAATGCTAATTAATTAGATAAAAAAAACTCCTCAATGGATTCTATGCGGACTTACAGATTAGATAACCCCACTCTAGCCTAGCACATCCCCAAGCTAATGGGTAAACAGAGGTCACTATCAGAACAATTTTGTACAACTTGAAGACTAGATTAGAAAGTGCCAAAGGGCGGTGGGCGAATGAGCTCCTTGGTGTGCTATGGGCCTATAGGAGAATGCCTAGTTGCCCCACTGATTAAACTCCTTTCTCCGTAGCCTATGGGAAAGAGGTGGTCATGCAAGTTGAGAATCCTATCTACCAAGGACTTACGACAAGGGAAGCTAGGCCATAATTGGGAAGGACCCTACATCAAGATGGAAGTTGTAAGACTTGGCACGTACAGAATTCAAAACTCTAAAAGTAAAGTCTTGGCCCATCCATGGAATGCTAAAATCCTGAAGGGGTACTATCAATAACAAGAAAAAACTAGTGAGTCTCATTGCCTAGTCATGGCATTAGTTAGTTTAGCTAGCTTACTTACTCTGTTATCGATTACTTTAGTTATGAAATAAAATTTTACAAAAGTTATTTTGTCTAGATTTTCCTTTTTTCATTCCATAGAAGTTTGCAAATAACCTACAAAATTCAAAGCATGATTTGCCACAAAAAGACAGAAAAGAAAAGATAAAACCGCCATACACTTGATGACTGCTCAATGCTTCCTGATCCATTTTCATCAAAACTCTATCCATCACCACCTGTCCCTAGTGTCTCATATGGGACAAAACCAGAGAAGTAAATGTAAGGAAAAGCCACTTAGGCCTTCCCCTTGAACTCCTCATAATCATCGATAAAAATGCCTGTAACGTTGCACTACAGCTCATGAACATCCCTATCTGTAGCCTCCTTTTTCATCTCCATTTCAATGGAATAAGCCTCTGCTTTAGTGGCCCTTTTATGAGTTACTCGTAACTCTATCTTAGCCCTAACAACCCTCTCCTAAGCTGTCTATAGCTCCGTCTCAACTCCAGTGACCCTCACGCGGGCTACTCGCAGTTTTCTCTTTACTCTAGCACAAACAATCTCTTTGTTAACCTCTAGCTTGGTGGCTCTCTTTTCGGACGCTGAAAGCTCAGCTCAAGTGGTGCTACTCTCTTATGAGCCAACCTCAACTGCTACTCCTCAGCTTGGCACACTTGTCCCTCTTCTGCCAAAACCATCGATACCTCACCAAGCTTGACTGTCCTCGAAAAAAGGAATGGAAAAATCGCAGCCATTTGCAAAAATCCAAAAGAAAAAAATATCAGTATGACCAAAAATAGGTAGAAGCTTGCACATGAGTCTTAGCCCCTAAAGTAGTCCAAGGGCTAACCCTATTATTCAAAGGGGCCACGTGCGGAGAAGAAGTGGGGGCACCACTAGGCCCCATCTTCTGATAAATAATATGGGCATTAGACCTCGGCTAAGAAGCACTGGGGGCATCGAATCTTGCCCTCTTGGGAATAGGGGAAGATGTCACCCTAGTGGCATAGAGAGCCTCCATCATCACTCTATCAACAATTGGAGCACCTATGAAATTTGAACAAGAGAAAGAATTTACAGAAATTTAAGACGTTGTCAAATTTACACAAAGATGCAAATACCTTTCCTCTTCTGTTCAAGAGAGACTCTAGAGTAACTCAACCCAGACATAAGGGCAGTAAAATGCTTGACAGGTTGATCTCTTACAACCTAAAGTCTGTTCTTCTGCTCCATCGATAATACGGGTGAAGCTGCAAAGAAACCACACATGCAATAAATACAAGAGAGATATGATAGTTGGACATAAAAGTAGAGGTAAAAATCATACCTATCTTGGTCCTTGGAGGAGTCTCCCATCTCAAGGGAACCAAATTACGGTCCTCCTCGGCAGCCCACCCTCCTCCTACAAAGAAGAACCTAGACTTCCAACTATAATAGTTGGAAGACAGTCCAGTATTCAACTTCCTTGACCTCGGAGCAAAGCAGTACCATCCCTAATGAGGAACAGGGTTCTCCAAAAGCACATACGACGCTTAGAACTCCTTAAAAGGGGGAGAGAAACCCTCATCATGCACTAGTTGTCACAATGAAAAAAACACCAAAAACACCCTCTAGCCATTTGGAGTCAACCACCCTAGTGCAAGTAACAATGACCTAAAACCTGGCAAATGGGTCTAGGTATGGGACACCTTAATCTTGCCTCTCANGTCCAGTATTCAACTTCCTTGACCTCGGAGCAAAGCAGTACCATCCCTAATGAGGAATAGGGTTCTCCAAAAGCACATACGACGCTTAGAACTCCTTAAAAGGGGGAGAGAAACCCTCACCATGCATTAGTCGTCACAATGAAAAAAACACCAAAAACACCCTCTAGCCATTTGGAGTCAACCACCCTAGTGCAAGTAACAATGACCTAAAACCTGGTAAATGGGTCTAGGTATGGGACACCTTAATCTTGCCTCTCAGACATCCTCATAGAAAACAATCTCTCTAGAGGAATCAAAACATGTTGGCTCGTACTTCTCAGCTAGACGACACAAAATAGCAGAAGGGATATGGAACAAAGATATGATGGCATCAATATTATTGTCACTATCTATGGGGTTGAAAATGGAGATCACCTTTAAGCCGTCACTATTTACACTCCCTTGCCTAGCTATGAAGCTTGTGCAAGACTCATCATCATACCCTTAGCAGATTGGTGCCTGTCAAAATCAGAGCCAATATAAAAAAAGGATAACAAAATGAGGGATGAATAAAAGGACGAACAAAATCGCCTTACCTGAGCAAAAGGTGTCACTCTCTCTCTCTTTCTCTCTCCCTGGCAAAGTTTAGGCCCTCCAAGGCTCCATCCTCGTCGTCCAGCCCTCTGGTGTCATCCCTGGCACCTCCCTGCCTGCCTCCAGCGTCATCAGCGCTGCTCAACTTGGCTTCGACATCGCACAGCCCTCCGGTGCCACCCTGCCTACCTTTGTCATCAACATGGATTTGTCTAGTTTTGTCCATGGCTTTGCCGACGCGCCCATGGCCTTGCCTATGGCTTCGCCCATGGTCCCCTACCACATCTTTTTTCCCTTTGAGATCCATGTTTCTTCTCTTTGTCAACCTCTCTCTGCTACTTATGTAACAAAGAGAACGAATGTCACTTCCTATCTCTAATCAAGAAGGAGGGGTTTTCAAAGAAGAAAGTGAAATGTGGGTGGCTCATTCTTTGGTCTAGATATAACCCTGTAAAACCCTAAATTTAATACCCTAAAAGAAAAAAGGTGTTTCTACTGTAAAGAGATGAATTTTTTTCAAATCCAATGGAAGATCTAGCAGAAAAGGTTGTTTGCTATCACAATGGGTGTCCAACAATGGTACCACCAAATGAGAAAATAGGCTTTGAAACTGCAATGGAGAGGAAAATCGAAGAAGCCATTGTGTGGAACAGAATACCTTGGTCTACCCAAATGAAGGAGCACGCTCATGCCCTCAACCCCCGTATCACTACTAGGGCTTGAGGCATGAGAGGCAAATGATGAGCCCAGATCCAACTAGGCCTGCACCTAGTTCATGGGTTGAGCCCAAAACATTAAAAGACAGGCTAGGCTTAGTTCATGGCTTTCAGTCTAGTCCAAAACTCAAGAGTCTAGGGAGAGTCAATGCACATGAAAGAGCAACCATTAGGATAACCATTATTCAAAGATAGTATCCACCCCTAACTGTAGTTATCCTTACCGATAAATTAGTAGCTTGACTTTCATATCATCACCTTAGCTAGGGTTCTGTGCATAAATCTTAAACCCTTTACACAGGGGACATATAATACACCTTGAGCGTACCCTTGCTCTCTCTCTCTCTCTCCCTCTCCTACTACCTTGTATTCTCTCATTAATAGAGTTATTTGGCTACTGTTGTCGCCTTTAATGGTTAGATCACCTAGACCCAACTATCTAATCTTTATATCTTATTATTAATTATTTCATTAATTTCATTACACCATACACTCGACTGATTTGATTGTGCATAATCAATTTTGTGCATCATTATAATGACACCATTATTCCTCGACATTGAATTTTTGGACAACATTAATGGACTAGTGAAATTAATAATTTAAATAAAAAAGATTTATTTATTGAACATTAGTCAAGTCCAATTTCATATTTAATCTAATCAAATTAACTCCCTTCACCTCATGCTCTCCGTCTCTGGGGCGGCCCATGACATTTTGTTCCTTAAAGTGAAAATAATAAATGAGATTTTTTTTATTTTTGATATTAATAATAAATTTAATTTTTAAATTTTTAAATATAAAAATATTAATTAAAGTTTTATATTCAAATTTTTGTTACTATATTTGAACTTGATGGTCAAAGAGGGAGAGGGGAGGGGAGGGGAGGGGGAAGGCGGGGACGATTAAAAAATTACGATGGTAAATTTGAACTCTTTGTTGGGCCGGCCTTGCTCCCTCTCCCCTCCTTTGCAGCACCAAACCACCTTTAATATTGTTCCCATGCTTCATCTTCTATCCACGATATCACCACCACATATTAATGCGTTGAACTTGAGTCTACCTGCCATGATGAACGTGAATCTGAACCAAAATTGAGCTGCTCTATTTATTTCAATGTCTAAACATATTCAGCTAGATTGAGGAGGTCTAAAAGCAAAGTGAATTCACGTTGTTTCCTTTGTCGTTGCTTGCGATCACCAAATTCATAACTTTTGCAAAATTAAGATATAATATTTTGGGCTGTAATAACAAAAAATTATTCAAATTTATCCTTAAGTCCATAACTTAATATTTTTTCTAATTAAGTTCACATTATATTAAATGTTTGGTGACCAAGTACACATTTTCAAAATTATATATTTTTGCATTGCGTATTTCCCCTTAACTTAATTCATGCAAATGTTGGCAGTTTCCTTATTTTTTTATTATGTTTTATTAGATTAGTGGTTTCCTAAATTATTATATTTATTAACCGTTTGAATTTTAAAATGTTTCCTAAACAAATATTGCTACCCAACGACTTTATTCATGTGTAACCACTAGATCTTGCCATTTACAAATTATATTTTTTACATTCAGCCACAGATTATTCTCTTCTTACTTCTTCATCAATTAAAAAACCTACACCAACAACAAATCGTAACAAACTCTTGAATTTTTTTTCGAAGCAAATACAAAATCAAACCCTTTTTACAAAACAGAGACACCAATAACAATAAACCCCCTCCATAAAAGAAAATCAAATAATCCGATTTATAGAAACTATGTAAAATTNTGAATTTTTTTTCGAAGCAAATACAAAATCAAACCCTTTTTACAAAACAGAGACACCAATAACAATAAATCCCCTCCATAAAAGAAAATCAAATAATCCGATTTATAGAAACTATGTAAAATTCACAACTAAAGCTCTACCCCTTCATAGCCAGCAACTTGAAAGGAGTCATATAATAAATGCAACGGAATTTTAAAAAAATATATTAAATTGATTCTTTATTCCAAGATCTATTCATGTTTAATACAAATCGAGAAATTAGATCTATAATGAAGATTAAGGGTTAACTCTTGAAGCCTGCTTTTAATAATCTTCAAACTTTCTCAAAAACTTTAGATCTTCAAATCTGAACTTGATCTTTACCCCAAGTCTCGCAATCGATTGGCCTCTATTGATATCCACAGAATTGACAAAACTTGAAGGAACTACCTCAACTTTTGATGAACTAGTAAGGAGAGAGAATGAAAGTGAATTTTTCTTATACTAGCAAGAGAGTANTAACTCTTGAAGCCTGCTTTTAATAATCTTCAAACTTTCTCAAAAACTTTAGATCTTTAAATCTGAACTTGATCTTTACCCCAAGTCTCACAATCGATTGGCCTCTATTGATATCCACAGAATTGACAAAACTTGAAGGAACTACCTCAACTTTTGATGAACTAGTACGGAGAGAGAATGAAAGTGAAATTTTCTTTTACTAGCAAGAGAGTTGTTATCTAATATATCACCTCCTATATGAAGATAGTTATAGAGCCTTAGAAGACTCTAATCCTAGTTTGGATCTAGTTGTAATTATCTCATAATTACATATAGCCCCTTTATTAATTATTAATTATAGTAAAGCCCTAATTAACTCTTAATTAGGTTTCCTTTATCCTTTAATTTTCAATCAATTCTATTGTGTGTGACCCTATAGGTTCAAGCATACTTGGTTTTAGGCATTCGATACTAACTACAAGTAGCATCTCAAATTATAACTCTTTCTAATTTAGCTCGAATTAGACCTCTTCTAATTCTCCCTTTATGAAAAACAATTATTATACTTGTATTAATTTTGTTCTTCGAGCTTCTATTAATCATGAGTGACACCTAGCAACATATCATATTCAACCTTTGGATAATACGAAATAGGTAAATAACCCATTCACTCTATAGTTGCCATGCATTTTAATTCTTCTATCACTCAATGCCCCAATTGAATTACTAAGCTATGCAATTACTGTTAAACCCCCTAAGTTGATTTGATGTGTTCAATCTTATGACTATCACTCTTAATGATTAATTAGAAACCTTTGTTTTTTTTTTCTAATTGTCATTCTGTGTTGGCCAAAGACTCTTTGAGTCATATCTTAAAAGATCATATATGACATTCTCCCTTTATTTACTAAGGGTGATAGATTTCATATTGCACACTCATAAGTCTCTATGTATGTCTAACTATTTCCAACAATACATATTCAACTTACATGGTTAGTATATGAATATGTTGTATAGTTAAAGCATAGAAGTTCATGCACAAGACAACCATGGTGTCTCAAGTTTATGGATCAGTTGCATAACTAAAACTTTAGGATTTAAAATTGACAGGTATGTAAAACTTCATATGAAAAATTCTACATTATTCAATGGTCATGTTTAGTGTGCTTGTTTTTTAACAAAAACCCACACATCTGTTTTAGTATCTCTACACTAGTGACTTGGATGAGTCGTCTCATATCAAATACAAGTAAATATATTAAATATTAGTCTATAAATATTCAAAATACCCAATCAATAGTTCAAAAACATGTTAGAAATTATAAATATCACATTCAGTAAGTTTGAAAGAATTTTGAAAAATCTCACCCATTCCAGAATTGAGAAACCCTACTTGATGTAGTATACTGATCCCAAAACTCAGTCAAAGTAGACCAATAATAAGATTTTAAAAAATGAGCAGATCTACAACTGCCCAGTTGGCCCCCAAAATGATTTCCAAACTCATTTTTAAGGCTGTGGATGGATTCTTTAACTAGGAGAATCCCTCATTTGAAGCCCAAGCATCTCGATTGAGGAGATAAAAACCTCCAAAATCAAAACCAAACACATCCACCACACCTCCTCNGAATCCCTCATTTGAAGCCCAAGCATCTCGATTGAGGAGATAAAAACCTCCAAAATCAAAACCAAACACATCCACCACACCTCCTCTCACCACTCTCTTTCTCTCTCTAACTTCTCTCTCTTCTCATTCTCTTTCTTCCCATGATTTTTTTTAGCTTCCTATTCTTCTAGAGATGCTAAATAAACTCCCACGATACTTGGTGGAGAGCATGCAGCTATGTCACCTTCACCCGCCACCTAGAAGAAGCTTGAAGCTTCTAGGGTCATTTTTTGTAATTCTAGTAGTTTTTGGCTATTTTTTTAAAATTACAAACATATTAAATAAATCACTATAAACTTATCAATTAAATTTTTAGGACCCAAATTGGCTTCTGATTTAATTTGCGAGTGTCATCCTCACACCCCCAAGTCGTCTGTACGCAGTAATCCTATTTCATTCGGATGTACGTTCCAGCTTGTTTCCTCTCCACCAATCATACCCTTACACCCAATTAACACCCTAGGTCATTACATTTTCCTACCCTTGAATGAGCTAGGTGATTTTTTATTTGGGATATCCTTATCTTTTTAACCTTTNGAAGGAGGGGTTTTCAAAGAAGAAAGTGAAATGTGGGTGGCTCATTCTTTGGTCTATATATAACCCTGTAAAACCCTAAATTTAATACCCTAAAAGAAAAAAGGTGTTTCTACTGTAAAGAGATGAAATTTTTT